TCTTCTTCTTCGTCGTGGTCTTCTCTGCAGGTGCGCGGCGGCTTCTCCAACCTCCAGGTCCGCTATGGCGGATTACCACTCTCGTGGCGGCCACCTCAGCTATGGCGCGTCACTCCCTGCACACGACGGCGCGCATGGAATATCGGGTACCAGCTCTGATACCAATGCAATCAGACTCGCTTTCATTCACACTTTACATGCATGCAAACAGTAGCGCAGCAAACTGGCGACAAGCGCCAACACAAAACTCAGAGATATGGTTGCCGAAAACACAGTCCAGATACAAGTTCACTTTCGATGGCTATGGCGACTCAGCGCCCAAACAACTCTCTGTTCGCGTACACCGGATCACCCTGGATATCCCACACGCGATACTCTGCACTCACACATACACACACACACGACACACTACTCTAGCTATGGCGGCTATGGCCGCAACTACCCTATCTATGCTACGCTCCTTCTCTCTCGCCCACTTCAGCTGCGGGCTCACTGCATACCTCCTTGCACAAGTCGCTGTGGCAGCGCTTCCGCATGGCTCACGCAGGAATGAATGCATGACTGGGCACTGCCTCTTGATTTATACTTCTGAAGCTCGTTGGTCTGCCCTTTTCCATCGGCCCATGGTGCTCACAGTCCCTCGTGGTACTTGCTGGACTGGACTGGGACTGACTGGACCTTACCGCTGACGGAATGGGGACTCACTGCTATCCTACCGCTACTGTTCTACTGCAGTTGGTCCACCACTTGCCCACTTGCCCACTTGCTCGACCTTCTAGAAGGACTACAGCTAAGACTTCTGGAACTCACTAAGACTTCTATTCTACAGATCCACAGATCGAACCCCTGCTACCTACAGACCCTACGATAGTCTACTAACTGTTACAAATACACAGGTCGTGGGTTCAAGCCTTGGGGTCGACACAAATACTGTACACCGGTAGGGTAAGGGCTAGGGATCGAGCCCGGGGGTCTGCATCTGCTACTGCAAAAGATGAAAACCGTTTCAGCTACGTGTATGGGCCTTTGCGCTGGTGATGCCGTATTGCCTGTGCTGCTGCTCGACGGCTTCTTGTCATGCCATCATTGTGCTGCTGCTCGCCTTCTTCCCTTGCTGCTCGCTGTGCCGCCTGCTCTTCCGCTGATCTGCTGTCTTGCCAATTTGGTTTTATTTTAAGGGAGTACGTTTATGTCACATGGGAGTTCGTAATGGGCAGAAAAAACAGGCATCGGCGTCTGTGTCAAGGCCTGAGTTCGAAAAGGCGTTCGTAACTCAGGC